TAGGAAGATAGAACGTGCCTCTGAAATTCTCCTTTATGTATACGTAGATATATTGATTGACTTAATGAACATTTATCAGGAACGAAATATAAAAGCATGGGCCTTGGCACAAGCTTGGGTCTCCATCAAGTCTCTACATCTTGTTGGAGGCATGATCTTGGGAAAGTCAACTCCTGAGCCTTGATCTCCTCACCTGCAGATTGGGGATGGTAAACCCCATTTCCTAGGATTATTGTGGGGCTTATATTAGATCATGGGTGAAGAATGCTTGGCATGGTCCTTCATGCTGACTAAGCAACACCTACTAGTGCCATTATTGTTCTAATGACACTGAGACTGTCTCATTGCAGAGGAGGCTCTCACAGCTTGACAGATCTGGGACAGACTCAGAGCATCCCACAACACAAGTCACTTGGAAAAGGTAAGGTTATAAAACGAAGCCAGTGATTGGCCCATGGATTTGCACAAAAGAAAGCAGACAAGTAACGACTAGATCCTGGGCTCTCAGGCTGGTGACTGAGCTTACGTTGCTTGAGTCAGCACACTGAAGCCCGTGTGGTTAGCTGTCGACTGAGAAGAAAATTCCTTGTCCCAGTAAGATGCATATCCCCCACGCGGTTCACGTTAAGAGCCATTTTTAGGACTGGCTGCTTTAAGCTAGCAGTTGGTGCCAAAGTCATTTTTGCACGTGCCTATAGCCTGGTAAGAGGAGTCATGGCCTGGGGTCCGGCTAAGGAGATTCAGACTGTGGCCATTTATGGAATCCCAGCTGATGAACTCTCACTCGGCAGGACGCAGTTTGAGGCAGAGCAGGAGACATTTACTCTTAGGAAAAGCCACCCCCTCCTTGGCCTCTCCAGTCCACCCTCCAGAGCCCCTCTCTGGTTTCCCACACACAGTGTTTTGTTCCTCTGGGCATTGCTTCTCAGGAGGCTGGGAAAAAGAGATTGGGTCTTCCAAGGTTACCAAACTTATCTCTTTTCCTTTGCTGTACAAACAACTTGTGTGAAGGCCACCCAGATTTCTGCAATTAAAGAGAAGCTTGCAGGAAACAGTACGGCCAAGGCCGTTTTATATTCTGCCAAGTTGAGGCTCAAGTTGCCTCTGTGGGAGAATTCCTCTGCCGTTGCTAACTAAGCAGCCTGCCTATCCATGGAGCAGGGGGTAGGGGATTAGGAGCTAGAGTCCCAGGGCTCTTTGCTTGCCTCTGTGCAATGTTCTGAGCTCAGTGAGAGGCTGCTCATGGGCCACCGTTGACAGTGATTTCACATGAGCGACAGAGATTCAAACAGGGAAAGTCCAATAAAACCTGATGACCTCTAGCAGCGGGTCTCAGAGGATGACCTGGGCCCGAAGCATCAACATTGCCTGGGCCCTGGTTAGAATGCAAACTCTTGGGCCCACCCCATCTTGCCTGCTGATTCAGGAACTCTGAACACTGGGCCCAGTAGGCATCTCAGAAAGCCCTCCAGGTGATTCTGAGGCATGCTAAAGTTTCAGAACCACTGGCTTTTAGAAACCCTGGCAGTGGAAGAAAGGAAATCATTCTAGAGTCTTATGAAAACCAAAGTATGGCTAACCAGGTATGCCTATCCCATTTCCACCTGCCTCTGCCCCATATGATGTAAGGGGGGAGGGGCATGTGGAGGCAGGCAATGGTTTGGAAAGAGCGAATAGACAAGAGACTCACCTGGGCCTATACAAGTGGGGTTAGCATCTATTTTCATCTGCTCATTTATTACTTAATGTTTTCAGTGCCATATAAAGATTTCTGTTTATCTTTCAGAAATACCCTTCATTGTGTACAGAATTCTCGAACTGGTAAGGAGGAGAAATGATCCAGGACAGGCAGGGAAGCAAGAGGAGGAAGAGCAGTACCACCAGTCCTGAAAGTTGACCCAGAACTCAGCAAACCCCAGTGCTATGGCTCAGAGAAGAGAAGCCTGGCTGGAAAGGGCCAAGAAGCAGAAAAAAGGAGAAAATAGAATAGTGGACACGGGCAAACCACCCCAACATCTACAGGGGCAAAAGGTAAATGAAGATCCATAAACTATATGTCTAAACCTCCTAAAGTTATAAATCAATTGGACAGCAAGTGAACAGACTTTTAAGTAAAATACGTGATATTCTCCCACCTTGACAAACAGATCTTGATAGCAAACTGGAAGCCCAGAGTTCATAAATTTAGTGTTCTTGGACTCCTCAGAGTTCCGGAATGCAATAATGCAAGCAGACTGGTCACCTGCCCTGGCCTCTGGTCTCTGACCAGATCCCTTTCTCTTCCCATCCTGGCTCGGACCCCACACGACCAGGGATTTCATTCACAGGCACAGATGTGCCACAGTGAGTCCAAGCTCTGTCCACACCCCTTGCAACCGCCTGCAGTGGCAAACCGCTCAGACCTAAGAGGAGCACCTCACCCAGAGGCTGGACCCAGGGACCTGTAAAGGCTCTGGAAATAGACTCAGGCCCTTTGGGAGAGGAAATTCTATCTGATTACTTGAAGTGTGGTCTTAAAGAGGAGCTGGCTCTGGGTGGGCATGACCCATTGGCCTGTGGATTCTTCATCCCACGGGGAAGAAGAAAGAAACCGAGCAGGTCCCCTGGAGCATGGGTCGGGACAGGGGCCCTCTGCTCTGGTCCAAGGATGGTAGCAGACAGAGAAGAGGAGGAAGAGTCAAGGAAGTGAGAGAGGGCAGGAAATAGCAGGTAATGAAGACCTTAGAAGCAATCCTTCAGAAAGTGGCTTTTACTGTTACCCACACCGTGAGGAGCCCGATCTTCTCCTGGGTACCAAGCTAAGTTTCTTCTCCTAGATTGACTGAACCCTCCCCCGACCCCAACAGTGGAGAAAAGTGAGCACCTGTGCCTGATTCATGCTGTGTTCCTCCACCTACGTTACTGCTCAGAGACTAGCCACGCCTAGTTTTCCTGTGATGATAACTGTTGACCCTTCATAACTTCCCGAGCTGCCACTGACAGTAGAGAACAAAGGAAGGAAGGAGGAAAGGGAGGAAGGAAGGAAGTTATGATCAGACCAGAAGTTTCTCTGGTGAAACAAAAGAGCATTTCATCAGATAAACAACTGAAAAGCAAGTTTACTCAGAAAATTGGTAACTTGAGGCAGCATTTAGGGCTTTATGATGTGGGTGGCTTGTCACTTGGCTCAGCCTCTGATGTTGCAAAAATTTCATTTGTGAAGGTTTCTATGGCCAATTGTTTTGATGCAGATTGAGTTTTGTTGTTTGCTGTTTAGTAGACATGAAATATGATGCATTTTCTCTGGGAATGTTTCATTTCCTCGGGCTGGAAATGCGATGGGGTTTGGGGAACTGCTCCGTGTATGAGCCATATGTTCTTGGTACTGAGTACAGGGGAGTCTGCATCACAGTGTTTTCCTGCTTTCAGAATCATTCTCTTTTTTTTTTTTTTTTTTTGAGGAAGATTAGCCCGGAGCTAAGTACTGCCAATCTTCCTCTTTTTGCTGAGGAAGACTGGCCCTGAGCTAACATCCATGCCCATCTTCCTCTACTTTATATGTGGGACACCTGCCACAGCATGGCTTGACAAGCGTTGCCATGTCCACACCCAGGATCCCAACCAGTGAACCCAAGTCTCCAAAGCTTCTGGAATGTGCGAACTTAACCGCTTCACCACTGGGCCAGCCTTCAGAATCATTCTTTAGAGTATTAATTATTTCTTGGGAGAAAAGAATACTTTCTAAGGATGAAATCAACAGAAGGATTCATGAAGGAGAAACTGATAGAAAGCATCATAAAAAAAACTTAAAAGGCAAACTGAGAAAAAAATTAAAAACCAAACTGGGAAAAATGTGTCACAAATATGTCAAAGGGAACAATTATTAGTATATAAAAACTGATATGCATATTTTAAGAATTATCAATGTTCCAGTTTTTAAAACGTACAAAACATGGGGGCAGAACATTTACCAAAAAACCAAAAATTATAATGACTAAAAAATGTTTCAAAATATTCAAAGGAATGTAAGATAAAAATGAGATACCGTGTTAATTGATGTGACCTTTCTGGATGCAGCCATACAAACATGTCAAGAGCCTTAAAAAATGTCCGTGGCCTTGACCTTGGCAGCTTTTTCCTCAGAAGAGATTAGAAATGTGAACAAATATTGATATAAACAGATGATCTTTGCAGGATTACTTGCTGCAGAATAAAAACAAAAAACAAAACCCTACTTGTCTCTTCTCCCATCAGAGTCCACCTGTGCCCTGGACCTTACACTCTGGTCCAGCTCCCTGGGGGTTTCATCTTACTTTCTAGCCCATTCATCGTCCATCTCACCCTCTCTACGGGATATATCCCGTCAGCGTACAAATACGCTCAGTCTCTCCCAGATTTTTTTTTTTTTTTTTTTTTTTTTTTTTTTGCTGGGAAAGAGTCACCCTGAACTAACATCTGTTGCCAACCTTCTTCTCTCTCTTTTTTTCCTCCCCTTAAAGCCATGTGCATAGTCGTGTATTCTAGTTGTAAGTGCTGCTGGTTCTTCTCTGTGAGCTTTGTGAGCCCCCACTACAGCATGGCCGCTGACAGGAGCCGGATCCAGGCCACCGAAGCGGAGCACACTGAACTTCAACCACTATCCGTCAGGGCTGGTTCTCTCCCAGATTTTTTCATCCTTTTTTGACTCCACATCTTCCTCTAGCTACAATCCATTCCTCTGCTTCCCTTCATAGGGAAACTCGAAAGAGTTATTTCCACACGCTCCTTCCCTTCCTCCCCTCCCGGTCACCCACCAGTGTGCTCTCTCTGGTCGACGTCAAGCAACACTTTCTTTAAGCAACACCGTGATTTTAAAAATGCAAATCGGATCATGGCTCTCTACTTCATTTAGAATAATTTTCAAACTCTTACAATGGATTGCTGAACTGTGCATGGTCCGTCTCCCGCCTCGTCATCTGACTTTGTCTCAGCACTCGCCTCCAGGCTCGCTCCAGTTCTGTTCACCCCTCCCTCCCTATTTTCCGGAACACAGATTTATGCACACGTGCTCACACAGCACTGCTCAAACTGCAGTCAGTGCAAGACACTGAGTGTTAGCTTGGAAGGACATGAAGTCAATTTCTTTTTTAACATAAATTAGTTTATTAACATGCACCTTAAATTCTGCAACTGAACTAAAATTCCACACTAGCTAGGAATTATCTTTGGCTAAAATAACAACAGTATAAATGATATAGAGGATGTTTTCCTCTCATGTAACACGAAGTCCTGAGGTAGGCAGTCCCAGGCTGATAGACATCTACATGATGTCATCCATGCCCTGGGTGTCCTCTATTTCTCACTCCTCCACTTTATATGGGAGGTCACCTCAAGGTCATCTCTGAGCTTTAGGGTGGCTGTTGAAGTTCCAGTCATCATGTCCACATTCCGGAAGAGAGGAAGAAAATTGCTGGAACTCCATTTGAGACTAATGAAATAGGATCTTTGGGAAAAAAAAATTAAAATAGATCATTTTCCCTTTATTCCTCACAAATAATTTCTTGGAAAGAAAAAGAGGGAAAATTAGATTAAGGGTAAAGGAAATACATTTCCTTCTACCGTCAGGGACAAAAGAATTTGGAATTGAGAGGAGGAAGACAGAGAGTTAACATTTTCTACATCTTTATTGTGTGCTGGGAACTCTATCTACAATATTTCAAAACACCCCTTTAGGATAAGTGTGTGTTATGGGCTGAATTGCGTCCCCTCAAAATCCATATGGTGAAGCCCTAACCCCCAGGACCTCAAAATGCGACTGCGTTTGGAGAGAGTCTTTAAAGAAGAAATTAAACGAAAATGAGGTCATTATGGTGAAGCCTAATTCAGTATAACTGGTGTCCTTGTAAGAAGAGGAGATGAGGACACAGACACGCACAGAGGGCAGACCATGAAGACACAGGGTGGAGACGGATGTCTCCAAGCGAGGGAAAGAGGCTCGGAAAAACCAACCTTGACGACACCTTGATCTTGGGCTTCCAGCCTCCAGATCTGTGAGTAAATAAACTTCTAGTGTTTAAGCCACGCAGTCTGTGGCCCCTCATTATGACAGCTCAAGCAAATAACACATGTGATTATGCCTACTTTTTAGCTAAGGAAACTGACGCTCCAAGGAGGTCACGTGCCGAAGATCGCGAGCCGGTAAGTGGTAGAGCCAAGATCCTCCCCGATCCAGCCTCGGAGTCCGTGCCTTCCCGCCCTGCCAGGCCACTCTCTTCCATACCCATCCCTCCCTTAACTGCTGAGGGCTTGTTCCCCCAAAGACTTAAATGGTCTACAGCCTGTTCAGACGTTCTCCTGAAAGGGGCAACACAAGAAAGAAGTGCGGACCAGGATGGAGAACAAGGCTGTTTCAGGCTCAACTACGGACAACCAACCAGGGCGAGAGGGGTATGAAAATCACGCTGTGAGGAAGCACGCTCAGCAATATTGGAACTCATAAAATCGTCTGTCAGCCCAGGTGGAAGAGGATCCATGATTTATTCCCCATTCAACAAAACTGTAATTTTTTAGGAATGTTAATCTTTTTTATTTGACATTCTGTTTACAGATTCTGGTGAGTTTAGAACTGCTGATTCTGCATGAAATTAGGAAAGCATTATTATTTTTATTTCTCCTTACAAAGCACTCTGCTCTGCTTATTCTGCGGCGAGCCGCCACAACAGATTAACAACGTTTAGAAGTAGTTTATCTTACTATCAAGTGCATGAACACCTAAAAAGTCCCCCTAAATTATGAATTAATGTCACGTGTGCACAGGCAGGGCCGAAGAGTCCCCCAGAGCTGGGCCTTGCTAAACGACACAGCTGACCTGATAAACTCTTTCCCACTGACACGCACACAAGGGACGGGGACATATGGACGTCACACAGCATCTTAATCAGGAACGAAACCACAAGTTTCTGTGCAAGGTGGCAATTTGAGGCCACAGTTTTATCTCCTGTTCACCCATAATTCTGATGAAATGACCAACAAGAATAAAAATTTGAGACAGTTTTTGTATAAATAAAATAAGAAATAACAAAATAAAATAATTTCTTTATCAATATTAAACAGGGAAGGATAACATGAATGGCCAGACACTTTGAAAACTTCTTGAAAAGATGGAATGGGATTGAGAAAGTCCGGCCTGCTAGGGGGCATGCTCTGATTGTCCACTGTGTGAGTAAGTGCCCTGAACTTCATGACTGAAAACGCCGGCGTCTGTTTCACTCATGGATCTGCATTTGAGGCAAGACTCGGCAGGACCGGCTTCTCTCCACACCACCGAGCGTCAGCTGGAGCAGCTCAAGGCTGGAGCGTGGAATCACCACAGGCTCGCCCACTCGCTCACATGGGCAGTGGCTCATGCTGGGGAGACTCACAGGTGCTGGGGCATCTCTCTCTCTGTCTGTGTGGTCTCTCCACACTGTCCCTCCAGCATGGGGACTTCAGGGCAGCAAACTTCCTGCAAGTTCTCTCAGGGCCCCCAGGGTGCAGAAAGAGAGAGAAGGCCAGGCTGAAGCCGTACTGCTCTTTTGTGTCCTAGTGTCAGAAGCCACGCAGTGTCACTTCCACTGCATTCTATTTGTGAAGGCCAGATCCTTCTCAAAGCGCGGGGAAGCACTTGTCCTTTTGTGTTAGAGGGGCTGCAAAGTTCTGGAAGAGGATGGCATGTGGTCATTTTGAAAATACAATCTGTCGCGGTGGCGCAGTGGTGCAGCGGTTAAGTTCGCACACTCTGCTTCAGTGGCCCGGGGTTCGCTGGTTTGCATCCTGGGCGCAGACATACACACTGCTTATCAAGCCATCCTGTGGCAGGCATCCCACATAAAAAGTAGAGGAAGGTGGGCATAGATGTTAGCTCAGGGCCACTCTTCCTCAGCAAAAAAGAAGAGGATTGGTGGCAGATGTTAGTTCAGGGCTAAACTTCCTCAAAAAAAAAATACAATCTGTCAAATATGTGACTGAAAAACAGCACCAGGAGGAAGCGACCACAATCACTAACAAAGCCACAATATACCTTCAGGGTCAGTGGGACAGGGGCTAGGAGTGGGGGTGAGCTGAGGAGCAGACAGGTCTGGGAAAATCCCAACCCCACACACGAACCAGCTCATGCTGGGGTCTTGCCACTTGGTGTAGACTGAAGGACAAGGTAAATGCAGCATTGTTTCAGCCATCTATTCGAGAGGCTATTATTAGAAATAAGAGCAGTTAACTTCAGTGTGCTGCGACACGCACACACAGGAAACTCACCTGCCCGGGCTGCCTCTGATCTCCCATAGACAATGAAAGCCTCCATTTAATTAAATTAGACTAGAGAAAATGTAAACTTTCAATGTTCCCCTTTAGTCTGGGACTAAAATATTTGGACAAGTACCTACAAAAACTCTGATAAAATCTATCTCAACATCTAATATTAGATATGCATAGACTTCCCTCTGTGGTTGAGAAGGAAGGAAGGGAGGGAGGGAAGAAGGAAGATTGCTGGATATATGACATGATGAAAGTTGTTCAAAACAAAAGACTATTCTTAAGATTCAGAGCAAACACGACCCCCACCCCCAAGAAATAAGGAAAGCACTTACAGAACACCTGAGACCCAGGGGCAAGCAGAGAGCTGAGATTATTAAGGATTGCTTTCAGATTTTAAAAATTCACAAACTCAAGATGCCATAAATAGCAAGCTAGATACGAAACTAACAAATGAGAATCACAGGCCCAGATGTTTGCTCGTCATTCACAGGAAAGGAGGAAGAAAATTACACAAGGAGCCAACCCATCAGGGACACAGAGGACAAACCCAGGAAGGCGTTTCTGTCCAGGAGAGAAGAGCAAGAACGTCCTGCACAAAGACGTGAGACTTCTACTCAAAAGGGAAAAAAGAGCCACACGTAGGCATGTGCTAGTGAAGCTCAAAACACTTAAATTGAACTTTGACTTTCAAGATATGGAAACTCGCAAATATTTTGGTATATAAAATGAATTACATTCAAAAATGGAAATGAATTAAATGATCCGAGTTTCCTGTAATATTAAATCACACAAGGTAAGAGAGTCAAATAATGGCTCTGAATCCTGGCAGATAATTAGAACAAATAAGGTAACTTGATAATATGGCTGGTTACAAAATAAATCATCTAAAGTAAAAAACTTTTCCTGCTCTGGACAATATGGCAAAGTAAACGCAATTCTGAAAAACGCTAGGAAGTAAGAAGAAAGGCAAGGACCCCAGAGCCTAACAAAACCAAAGAGAAACTCATGGGGAGGGAGGCACAAGGTTGTTGGATCCTGACTTAGGGTTGGGCGGAGGGGCTAGGAGTCAGCAACATGGCGCCAGGCTGGTTAACGCTCCCTGGTGTCTGCCGTATTTGCCACCCCACCATGCCCTGGCAGGTGAACGCTTACCTTATGGCCCCAGTGGGACAAGAAGCGTCAGCCTCAGCCCAGGGCCAACGACGCCAGTTGACGTGATGGGGCAGCACCAGGCCATGTCACCATGGGGCTAGCCGAGGGGAAACTGAGAAGAGCAGGTGCGCTGGCTGCTCCTAAGAGTGTCCTCCTCACCCGCACCCCTCCGTGACACCAAGTGATCCTGTCTCCACAGACCAGTCCTGTTCCAGAGAACCGAAGACGAAAACGCGCATCGTTTTCTTACAAATAAATCCCGAGAACCTGTGTCATCTAGCGTTTTCTCTCCCCAGCTTAGCATGTCTGCTTGACTTCATCTGGGATGGAGAACGTGTACCAGGAGAAGAAGAAGAGGGAGATTTGCTGTTCACCTATAATGGGCTGTTTCACTCAGTGAAGTGGAAGCAAGAAGTCTTCCCTCCAGGATGCTCACAACACCCACACGCACACACACGCCATCATCACCACCACCGCCACCCCACACCATGCTACACACACCACGTACACGCCACACCATTCACACACACACACACATATGCGTGTGCTTCTGATCTGAAGATTCTATTCGTCACAACATAAACCAATGACTCTTCCAATGTTTTTAGGCTAGTGTATAACCCTGGGACCAACGAACATTCACTCACATTTGCCAGCTAGAAGGTAGAAAGGTTTCAGATGAAAGTAAGAGGGAAGGTTGTTGCCAGGAAGTCATGCTGCCTCTGCTTGTGTTGTCAGGGAGCAAAAGGCTAGCCCTTCCAACTGTGGAACGGCCCGGTGCCTTCCCGAACCGCCCCTCCCCCGCACCGCATACCCACTTTTAGATTTTAGATTCACGCCCTCTCACATCCTGCTGCAAAATATCTCTGAGGCTGAGCCCAGCCCTCCCTGGTCATGTGTCTGTCAAATCAGCTTGCTTAATAGCAAGCCTTTGTCACTGGTTCCTCCAAGATGTCTCCCTCCCACACACCCAAAAGAGATCGAAGAAGATGGATGCATTTGAGCTGGACAGGAAAGGAGCAAAGTGGACAATCTTCTTTCTCATTCTGGCATTTGCCTGTGGACTTTTCTCACATCCCCAAGAATCATGGAGAGTTCTGTCTGTGCCCCGAAGGCCCTGTGGAAGGCCCCCAAGGCAATTGCGTTGGCTGGATCCAGCGCCCCTGGGAGGATCTGGAGCCCCACTAGAAGGGTTTAAGAGGCCAGCTGGAGGAAGCTCAGCCCCAAAGTTGGCTGGATCACTCAGGAAATAGCACAGATGCTGGGGCTGGCAGCGGAGAAGCCTCCCTTTGACCTCTGACCCACTGCACCCAGATCTTAACCAGAATTAGTCTGACTTCTGAGTTGCCCCTAAAACCAGTTCAAGGAGAGAGAAGGGAGAGGATGGAGGGCAGATGTTCTAAGAATCGGCAGAGTGTTTGATCAAACCTCATCTTGGCTTCATTTCTTGGGAATGTCATCCAAGAGGAGAGTGTTTAGGACACTGAGAACCCCAAGTTGTGCTGGAGCCTTCATTTCCTTTGGCCAGGCTTCACTACATTTCCTAAGATGGGGACATTTTTCCATAGGGACAGTGTCATACATCAAGGTCAGGCTCTAAGGACACTCACAAAAGCCTATGTGATTCGTGACATTTCTTAGAGTAGGGGCTGGCTCTTGGAACAAAACCTGTCAGCCACACAGCCACGACAGAGCAAAGGCAGGACCACTGAGCCGGGAAGCCCAGAAGCTAGGCCATGGCCCGGGTTCTGAGCCCCGCTCTTCTCTTCCCTTCCCAGCAGTGAGGACTTGCACAAATGACCTGATCTCAGTCTGTCTCAGCTTCATCCCTAAATGGGAAGAGGAACAGTGTCTATCCTCCGGGTTGTTGCACAGATCACATGAGACAGTACAAGTAGAATGGTCAGCACAGTCCTCAAATCACTGTAAACACTTCAGTGAATGCTGGCTTTTAATATTCAGCGAGGATTGATGGACAGGGCCAGGCTCTGTGCTGGAGGCCAGGATACGGCTGAGTGAAGGGGGAAATCCAGAATCCTCCTCTGCTCTGTGGCCCTCAGGCCTGCATGCAGGGACGTTTGGTCGGCGTGGGTCCACCAGAGTGGACAAGAACATTTAAGGGGTGCAGAGGTCCTGCCAGGCTGCCCCCTAGACACCCGCAGGGCCCAGACTCACTCCCCATCACTGTGCTTCCCACTCCAGGATTCAGGATGCCTCCGCCCAGCTCCCTGTTGCTTCAGCTGCACCCACCCCTCCCTTCCCAGGTGATTGCCACGTGGGACGGTTTCCTGCCTCCCCTCACCCTCCTGTTTCTGGGAGACAGTTTTCAAGGGATGTTTTTCTGCTTGGGAACAACAAGAAGGGCATGATCCCAGGCTCATGAAAGCCCCCCTAAGCCCCCAGCCAAGCAGCAGAGGGAAAGGTACTCACGCATGTCAAGGGACAAGGGTCTTGCCTTATGTGAAGGAGTGAAGCACGAGCTCATGAAGACAGTTATCGTCCACAACTGCTTATTGAGTGAGTCAAGGGCATTTCTGCACTCACCTGAGAAATTTCAGTTCAGTGGGTCTGCAAGGAGGCCCAGGCGGCAGTATCTTGTCAAAGTTCCCTGGTGAGTCTGAAGATCAGACAGATTCCAGTAGGATCAAAGAGATGCCCAGCTCCCCGAGATCTCTGGCCCCTGCAGTCCAGAAGCACAGGCCGAATGCGAGGCCTCAGGGGAGGCAGACTGTGGCCGTGACGGCTCCCTGCCATCCACTCCCTCAGTCACTGCCACCAGGGAGAGGGGACAGCAGGAAAGGTGGGACCCCCAAAAACAGAAGGTGGGGCAGATGGGGGAAACAAAAGAGGAGGAAATGCCACAGCTCTGGGGGAGGGGAGAGAACTGCTTCCGTCACAGGGCTGACCCAGCCATTCTCAAGATCCCAAGGGACCTCAGGCCTCCCAGGGGTGCCTGTGATCAGTCCCCGTAAGCCAGAGACTGCCTGTGTATTGGAAACTGCCATAAACTATCGTTAGTCTAAAGCTCTGGCCCTTTTTGTTAAGTCACAGGACACTAACCCTCCTGGCAGTTCCCAAGGGAGACAGGTTCCTGCTGAAGCACGGGCTGCGCCCTGGCCTCTCCCCCTGTGGAAGCTGCAGCTGGCCCCCTGTGAGCCAAGGATGTTGCTATCGCCCTGGGATGGCCACGGGCTGCGTCTCCGCCAGGTGTGCCCGAGAGGCCGCAGGAGCCGAGGAGGCCGAGCTCTGTGCAGGGCCTGTTTCGGACCTCGAAGCTGATCCAAGCTACATTATTACGAAAAGTTATTAACTGATATTCAGTTACAGGATCACGGGCTGAACAAAGAACGAGGCCCCGCGCAGCAGAAAACCATATGGCCTTGGAGGCTGCACACCTGCGAGAGAACAGGCAGGCCCGGTCAGAACCCATCAGCAGCTCCAGGAAAGCCATGAAGAGTGGACTTGCTCCACGGCCCTTTCTAATTAGCTGGCGGTGAGTTTTCTCAGCTTCCTTATAAAGGCCTGTGGCCCCTCCTCCACCCCGTCTGGGTCCCACGGCCCAAGACAGCTGGGGAGAAGGTCCCCACCCAGACTCCCAGTACTCAGACCATAGGAGACACTGGAAACAGGAAAATAGCCTTTACCTCTGGATCCAAAGCAAAATCGAGAGGAAACTCTTAGGGATTCATCACGAGGAATTGGTCCCACAGGGGAAAGCAGAGTGCTTTCCCACGACGGCAAGAAGCTGGAGCCATTGGTATTGATCACATGTAGGAAAATGGTCACATCGATTACATCGTATTCACCCGAGGAATGGCTGGGAGAAGAACAGAAAGATAAATGTAAACGCCACGTGACGACATGGAAAGACCTTACCATACAACGTCCAGTAAAAAAACAAAAAAAGTGGATACAAAACACGTCTCTGCCACAACTATGCCGGTGAAGTTACGCACGCGTGTGGCTCTGCGCGGGGCAGGGCCCGGCAAAGTGACGCAGTGTGGCCGGTGGTGGCAGAGTTGTGGGTGGTTCTTCTCGCCTTTTACTTAGAATTTTGTTAATGCTCTTTAACGTTTGCGTAATGCACACTGAAAAATAAAGCGAAAAGGAAAATAAAAGTAATGAATGTGGTTTTTAAAACTGGGAGGGGGGGCGGAAGAGAAAAACAGACAATGTGGTGTCAGAGGCAAACCCTGCCAGCTTCCCAGAGTGCAGCCACGTGAGGTGACTTTCGCGGAAGAGAATCCGTTTTCACTAATACTCATCCCTGTGAGAAAGAAGAAGAATGAACAGTATCTTGGAAGGGGGCGGAGATCCCACAAGCTCCCTCTCTGACGTAGAGACGCCGAAGTCACCGGATGGCAGGACCAGGTGAGGTTCTGCCTCAGTTTCCTCCGTGGAACCTGTCCAAGCTGCCAGAGCCGCCAGGAGGATCCGTGTCCGCCAGCGCCAAGCAAGGCCCCGGTGCCCAGGCGGATGACTTGCCCAGCAGCTGCACGGGGAAGGCAGTGGGGGGACACTGGGCAAGGCTTCCCAGGAAACAGTCCTCAGCTCTCTCCCAGCCCGGGTCTGGCCACCAGCCACGTGGCCACAGGAATGGCACAGCTGGCCGTGCCAGCCCCAGCCCACGCTTAGCTGTGCAAACGGAAGTACCTTATAGGGACTCTTGATCAATCAAAATAGACATTTCTGCTGTCTCCGGATCACACACATCCAGAGTCAGGGGCTAGTCACTTCTCCTACCAAACTAGAGGATTGAATAAATATGTCTTATATTTAAAATTCAAGAGACTCATCACAGCGGGGAAACTCATGTTGGAGCTCAGCTTTCATTCTCTATCACTCCGGGGGTGAGAGCAGGACTCAGGAAGTGATTGTGCATTCAGAGGGGGAGGCCAGAGTGTGTGGGAAGGGTCAGGAAAGAGAATCCCCCCCCTGTGCTTCGGAGGACGAGACAAGCTTGCAAAATATCTCATCTTCCAGTCCCAGAAGGGAGGCGGCTGTGCGCCTAACATTTCCAGTTAAGGAAAACACATAAATGTTGAAGAAACAGCCTGGAACGATCAGGGTTGCAATGCCTGGCTGCAGCGAACGGAAGGGAGGGAGCAGAAGGAGCCACGCAGGAGTAATCAGCCAGCTGGCGAACAGTGATGAATGCCGAGCGACACGCAGAGATGTGGTACGGGCCACGCCGCGTGGAACACACCTCTGATACCTGAGAAGCAGCCGGACTTTGCCCTTCTGAAGAGTCAAAGCTTGTAAAATACACCTGTGACTCCACACGGCTTTTCTCCGGGAATGTGCTTACTGGCTCCTTGCCGCCCTGCTCTGTGTAACTGCCATTTGCATGTCTTCCTTTGAGGAACTGGCCTCCTGCTGCCTCAGGGATGCCATAGAGACGGACAAAATAGTTTTACCAGGCACTGCATCCCGGTCACTCAAAGGTGATATTAGATCTGGGAGCAGTTAACACTCCCTGGAGAAAGATACGAATCTGAGAGATGAAAGCATTCTTAAGCCCTACAAGATCCCCCTGCTTTCAAGCGTCTTCGATGCTTTAAACACCTCTCCCTTGCTCTCCCGTCATGGCATTTATCTCTGTGCTCCAGCAGACAGATGGAAGATGGGGCCGGCATGGGGTTTCCACCGGAAGTAGGTCCAGAGGAAGAAATCCTGCCTTCCCAGATGTGTTGTGCTCTCCTGCCCTTTGGGCAAATCTTCCCAAACTCTTGTGTCTTGCAGCTAAGCATCTTGAAGACAAAAAACGAGGAAAATCAAATGTGAAACAATAGGGTTTGTTTTTTTGTCCTTATTATTTATCCTTTCTCAAGTGGAGATTGAGCCCTGCACTTAGCAACGTGATGTCCTACCAAGGAAATGGCTGACTTCAGGTGGGACCTTAGGACAGGCACAGATGGGGGTGTGTGCATGTGCAGGGAACATGCCCCGCCCACTATGTCCAAACATCCAACTCCTACCTTCCCCTCCCAGGTCAGCTTCTAATGCCACATCCTCCGCCAGTCCCACAGGTATGAGACATGTCACACGTCCTGGATAGGGGCACACACTCTGAAGCCACACCTCCTGCATTCACATGTCAACAATGCCACTTGGCACTGTGCAACCATGGACAAAGTGCCCAACCTCTCTGTGCCCCAGTCTCCTCACCTACAAAATGAGGACACAAATAGTATCCATTGCACAGGTGTTTTAAGTAAACATGTCACATGGGAAGCTCTTTCAAGAATGCCTCACATAGAGTAATGGCTCAGTAATCAGTGACCACCATTACCCTCACAGGATTCTCTTGACGCTTTCTGGTGGCACACCCACTTCCGTGCGATTTTTTTTTTTTTGCCTTGGGGTCTTCTTATCTGAGTCACATCTTGCTTTCTGTCCTGTAAGGAAAGATTTGGGGGCCCTATTCTTTTTATTCTTTCCTTAAAATCATTTAGTGGAAAAGAGGGACTGACTGTTAAGTGAACGAGTAATGACAGACAGAACACGAGAGCACACCACAATATTGTGCCACACCGTGTGGCCTTCCCGCCTGCTGGGATCCCGGGCAGAGAAGGCAGAGTAAGAGACATAGAGCAGAGTGCGCAGGGAGAGAAGCCCAGGACATCCCAGGCTGGGGAATGACGTGTGGACAGGAGGGTACGCAGAGCTGGGCGCGTGTCTGTGTGTATGTGTGTCTATTATGCGTTTTTCCAAATATTCATGTAACTTGTGTAATGAGCTCTTACCATGTGCTAAACTCTGTGCTGGGAACAGAGTGGGAGGCTGGGGCAATGGGGGAAAAGTTTTACCAAGACTCTAACCTTAGAGTGCACTGTGATTTGGGGGGAAAAAATCTCATTTGGCTTCCAAATACCCACATCCTCTGTGTTTTCCCAGGTGTTGCCTCCACCCTCCCAGGTCCTTCCAAAGCAGCTCAGCCTTGGCCAAGGGGAGAGGAGAAGGAACCCTTCTCGTCTTCCACTTAATTGTGATATTGCTGACATGAAGAAAGGCAAGGAGCAAACGAACGGCAGTCTGTAATCAAACGGTGTAGAATGCTGCTGCTTGAAATGTTATGATCTGAAATGTCTATGACAACAAATCCAGACAGTAGTGGTAGGAAGATGTCGCCTACAGATTTTTCCTCCTCTCCTTTGGGTTTTCTACCCAGGCTTCCGCCGTGGAAGTCCGACAGCCAGCCGCATCCACGAGGCCTGGGCCGCAGAACGACTCACGGAGCCAAACAGAAGGGACTAGTATTCTCATCATCTAAAAGGACTCTGAGGTCTTGGAGGTTGAAAGGCTCCATGTAGTCAGTAATTGTCATCATAATACAATTACAGCCCAAGAGACAAGTCCCAGGGAAAAGGGGGTTTTCACCAAGGGCGGAGCTCTCAGCTTCACTGATCAAGCACACATTCCAGCTTTCCTGGGCTGACGTGTTCACACCTCAGCATGTGCAGTCCATCTGGAGCACATGGCCAGTGTAGACAGACAGCCTACGGAGCTGCTGGGGAAAAAGGCCTGGCCTCTAGGCTTACTTCTGTCCATAGCTGTGTGACCTTGGACAAGTTGTCCAAGTTCTCTGAACTTGTTTTCTCCAAATTGTGAAAGCACTTTGAAGAATGAGAAAGGGCTGTGTCATAGCCCTGATAAAGGATGGAGACACAATCACATCTTCTCTTGGTTGTATACCTTGGGCTGTCCCACTGTGGTCACCGCCCTGACCCTTTCGTCCTGTCTCCAGTGCGTGCGCTATATAAATAAAAGCAAACATTTGGGAAATGTCCGTTTATTCAAAGGGGATTCTCTTTCATCTATCTCGCTTCAAGCTCCATATCAGAGCTGAATGGTTCTCCTCCCTTTGTCCTTATTTCCATCGTCACTGCCCCCACGCTGCGGTGGTAACTACAGCACGCTGTACACCAACAGCGTACAGAGCACAGAGCACTGTGCTAAGTAGTCAGTGGGAATTCGAGGGCTCACAGTCATGGTTCTCAAGAGGACTTCATTGAAAAGTGAAAATCCTATGTGTAAATAGAGACACAACAGTGTATACTGTGCTAAGGAGCAACTGAGCAGTCAGAACGGTTGGTGCAAGCGGAGGTTAGAAACGTCCTCCTCACAGATAAGGCCAGTACCCTGCGCTTTGAACCCCATTTCCTTCCACATTCTTGGGAACCACACCCCATCAACTATCCTTATCTTTCCAGTATGTACAACCGCCTCCTCTCACTGGATGCTTCCCATCAGATCTTTAAGAGGCTTAAGTATTTTCCATTTAAAACAAAATCCTCGCTGAGCCCCTTCTTGTCCCTCCATTTTTAAGCCAACATCCCAAATGCATCACCCACACTCACTCTCTCCCTTCGTTCCCTCCTCACTCCCTCCTTAGCCCCTTCCAGCCTGCCCGCCACCCTGAAACAGCTGTCACAGGGTGCAGCGGACTTCCATGCCCCGAACTCCAAGGAGAGCTTTACAATCCGCGTCCTCCTTGACTTCTCAGCAGCCTTTGACACTCTGGCTCACTCCCTCCTTACGTTCTTAAAGAAGGTTTTTTATTGACGTAGAATATAATATAGACAAGTGCAAAAATCATGAATATAAATGTTTACAAAGTGAATACGCCCTGATAACCACCACTTCGATAAACAGAACACCACCAGTACCCCAGAAGCCCTCAGTCTCGGTTCCCCTTCGGGATTACTGAGAGGTAACCACCAATAGTGGACGTTGTGGGGTTGCCTCCCAGAAGCCCTCCAGGTCTGAAATATCCATCCCCCCAGCTACTGGGAGTGTCGGTAGCCAACAGCTCTCAGCCTGGTCCCTCTCCAAGGCATCCTTGGGATGAAGGGAGCCAAAGTTCACACACCCTCCTGAGGGCGTGCTGCATCCAGTGACTGGTTGGGTGGGGGTATAAGGGCCTGGTCCCCTCCTCCCACTTCAACACAACTCGGTTGGCCTGCAGCAGTTCAGAGTCCCTTTCCGGCAGCTGAAGGCTTTGGTGTGATTTCGTCACAGCTCCCCCTCTCTTTGAGCCCTTCCCAGCTGCCCGCCTTCCCTCACAGGCGTATTCTTTACATAAGTGCACGGCAGTATAACAACATTTCTACTGTTGACGGCATTTTAGGTCCTTTCTAATTTCTGGCTCTTGCGGGTAATGCTGCAATGAACACGTGTGGACATCTCTCTTGGTGCACATATGTAAGAGTTGCTGTTGGGTATATCCCTGGACGTGTCATCTCTATCACCTAAGGTGTATTTATGTTTGGTTGCTGTGGACAATGCCAAGGAGTGTACGAAGCATTTGTACCAATTTCTACTCTAATTAGCAGAGCACGAGTTTCCATTGGATTTGCTCTCTGGCCCTTTACAGAAAAAGTCTGCTGACCCCTGATCTAAGCTGAAGAATGAGAGGAGCAAAGAAAAAGCCCTAGGCCAGAAAAGTACCTGCTGTGTCTTCAAAGACAGCTAAGCAGACCAGTTTGTCTAGGTAGAGGCGACTGGGCAGAAAAATATGGTTTGTATCAGAGGTTGGCAGACTTCTTTTTTTTTTTTTTTTTTTACAAGAATTTTTTTTTTTTTTTTTACTGAGTTAATGATAGGTTACAATCTTGTGAAATTTCAGTTGGACATTAATGTTTGTCAGTCATGTTGTAGGTGCACCATTTCACCCTTTGTGCCCACCCCCCACCCCACCTTTCCCCTGGTAGTCACTAAACTGTTCTTTGTCCACATTTTTAAATTCCTCAGATGTGTGGAGTCATACACAGATTATCCTTCTCTAACTGGCTTATTTCACTTAACATAATTCCCTCAAGGTCCATCCATGTTGTTGCAAATGGGATGATTTTGTTCTGTTTGGCAGCCGAGTAGTATTCCATTGTATATATGTACCACATCTTCTTTATCCATTCATCTGTTGATGGGCATTTAGGTTGCTTCCATGTCTTGGCTATTGTAAATAATGCTGCAATGAACATTGGGGTGCATAGGACTTTTGGGATTGCTGACTTCAAGCTCTTTGGATAAATACCCAGTAGTGGGATGGCTGGATCGTATGGTAGTTCTATTTTTAACTTTTTGA